AACTAAACTAACTTTATTTATACTGAACAGTTCTATCAGTTCTAAACTGTTCTTCCTAGAGGTCCAGTAAGGATCATCTCTTATTGTTCCAGTGTTACTACAGGAGGAAACCTAAACTAAACTAACTTTATTTATACTGAACAGTTCTATCAGTTCTAAACTGTTCTTCCTAGAGGTCCAGTAAGGATCATCTCTTATTGTTCCAGTGTTACTACAGGAGGAAACCTAAACTAAACTAACTTTATTTATACTGGATAGTTCTATCGGTTCTAAACTGTTCTTCCTAGAGGTCCAGTAAGAGTCATCTCTTATTGATCCAGTGTTACTACAGGAGGAAACCTAAACTAAACTAACTTTATTTATACTGGATAGCTCTATCTGTTCTAAACTGTTCTCGTTATCAACCTGTAGTGAGTTAGAGCATCGTCCTTCAGGCTCATCAGGTAATGTGACTTGAATTGATTTGACAGCCGCAAGATGATCCACTAACTCTTTAGACAATGCACCTTGGAAACAAATTAAAACAGCCTCAAATTTTCAAACACCTCAAAAGTATTGCCCACCCTTTTGGCAGCCTGTTGCAGGCAGCTCCCAGATTTTCAGCCACCTTTTTTTTCAATGCAAATCTATTTACATTTTGTTCTTATACTAAAATGAAAATCACACACAATGTTTTATCATTTGCTTTATTATACCTTTCTTGTCTTGATTCTGCTGTTCTGTATTTTGTAGTTCCTGTGTTGTAGAGGTAGGCTGACTTGCAGAACTTGTTGATGGCTCTCCCTTTATGAATAATGACAAGAAAATTAACATATTATAGTGCCTATATCATGGTTTTGGAGTTTCATATATCGAAAGTTTAGGGTATTTTAAGATACTTTGCAATATATTTTGTTATTGAAAAATTTCATCTTGATGGATTTATTAGCTCTTAAAGTTACCGGACATGACGTCAAAAGGAGAATTGCAAATCAGTTTTCCTTTGTATCATTGCAACAAAATTCTCCTTTGACGTCATGTCCGGTAACTTTAAGAGCTAATAAATCCATCAAGATGAAATTTTTCAATAACAAAATATATTGCAAAGTGTCTTAAAATACCCTAAACTTTCGAGATATGCAAACTCCAAAACCATGATATAGGCACTTTAACCCTTTAAATGACAATTTTACTCCATCTAATGCCAGACGATTTTACTCGTCAGGGGGAGAGTGTTGCCACTCAATCGGTTAAGCTGCATTGCACCATGACGTGCACTATTTTATAGGCATTTGTAAATTCTGAACGCTGAGAGCTGTGTTGATATAACTCGATGTCAACACAGAAACGTCGGAAAATTTCTTTCTTTATATTTCTTTGTGCTATATTGTAAAACAAATATAAAACATTTTTTTCCATATTGAATATATAGTTATATCAACACTCGTGGAAATTGTTCAAATTGGGAAAACTCGTTCTGACACACAATTTCTCGCTTTCCCAATTTCCACTTGTGTTGATATAACTGTATATCAACACGGAAAATGTTTTATATTTGTTAAATATTACTCTTTCTGATGCCAAAAGATTGTATTCATCAAGTGGTCACACTCAATGGGTTAACTCATTGAGCACCAGTGCTTGCCCCTTAATGTGTAAAATCATCTGGCGTTAGACAGAGTAAAATATTAAAGTCCTACAACCTTTGGAATACTAGCCCAATGCTCTGCCAACTGAGCTACGTGGTCGGGTCGGTTCGGTTCGAGTATGTGATATTTCGGAACAGAATCTAGTTCCTTCAATATCAATGTAACAATATTCAATGAGTTAACTAGACATATGAGCAGATGACTAAGCACTGTTGAGCACCAGCACTTTCCCCTTGACAACTCACTGGGTTAATTAATACACAGATTGTGTCTATCTATCTTACTCTGCCTAATGCTAAATGATTTTACTTGTCAGACAATTTTACTCATCAATGGACCATTTGCATTATAGACTAAATTTTGATCAAGACAAAAATTTCATCACAGCTTGAAAGAGCATCACAAAATTAGTAATATTCCAAAGTTTCATTGCGAAATGTTGTAAAATGCGGATAATATAGCCTTGCGAAATTTGCCGTTTTTCAGTCATTTTGTATTACGCACGGGAAGTTGACAGCCCAATCGGGTGTTGGGGCAACAATTTCCTGTTTGTAATACACATTGACTGAAAATTGCATATTTCGCAAGGCTATATTATCCGCATTTTACAACATTTCGCAACGAAACTTTGGAATATTACTAATTTTGGGATGCTCTTTCAAGCTGTGATGAAATTTTTGTCTAGATCAAAGTTTAGTCTATAATGCAAATGGTCCATTGGAGAGTGCTGGTACTCAATGGATTACAGTAATTCACATACCATGTCTATCTGAGTTGCTTCTTCACTTCCTAGAAACAGCAAATTAGAGAAGCAGGTAAGATTACAAGAAAGATAAAAAAAAACATGTGCAGTAAATACACAAAATCATCAATTACATGTCGCCAACCTTGTATTGTTAATGCTGCCGATGTGCTGGGTTCGTTCTCAGCTTGTGGTATTTCACTTTCCTAAAGCAAATGCAATATAATCAAGAATTTATATGCTAGGATGCATGGGGTGTACCCCCCCCCCCTTATTTATTTCAAGCACACTCACTTTGGCTTTATGGGCATTATCATCTTCATCTTCGTCTCCACCATACGACACTAAACGGGACACTGGAAAAACAACCAGAAATAAATCACTTACAATATGTCATAGTGCCATGCAAAACATCAAATAGATGTTTAAATACATCACGGCATACATACCTTATGACTAGACTGCAGAGTTGGGCACTTTTCAACGAGATCTCGGGTGCGCAAAAGTTAGAAAATCGAAATGCAGGTGCAGGGCGCGAAATAACGGCTGGAGGGTCGGCGGTCAAGGTTACCAGCCAACTCAATTTTAGATCGGACATACTAAATTTCTGGCCGGTCAAATTATTCAGCTTAATGCAAAGCCTAGTAAAGTATACCCCTAAAAATGTGACCATTTTCCCAGTATAGCAGTACAAAAAGCCTTACTGTAATCAGTAATTAAAAATTCCTTCACATAAAACGGCTTGTACTGGGCTAAAAGCATGGTCTTAGCTCTTAAGCCAAAGGCATGGTCATGGCCCATGATGGGCTTTGTGACGTACTGTGTGCGAAAACTGGTGTACATTGAAGTTGTTTTCCTGCAAAATATTCGACAACATGCATGTTATGGTTCTTAATTATAATACTGTACTTGACCACTTTATTTTGATCATTATTATAAAATGAAGATTAGTTTGTTCTTTTACCGAAAGTGACCGGTCAAAATGACCGGCAAGGTAAGAATTTGACCCGACAACTCCGCATTCTGGCCGGACATTGTCCGTTGACCGGCCGTTATTTCGCGCCCTGAGGTGCGCAAAACAGTTCGTAAGTGCACATCAAGATGCCGTCAAGGGCACAAAAGTAGCGAGATACATGTTAAAAACAATGAAAATGAGAGATTTGAGGGCAGATTAAATTGCAAAAATTGTTATAAAGTAATAAAGTGCTACACCCCAGGTGCTCTGGAATTTTCTGCCTAAAAAATACTCTGCAGTCTGGCTCGTCAAGAGGAGAGTGCTGTCACTCAATGGGTTAAAAATGTTCATTTAATTATTGCATATTAATATGTAGATAGACTTGCAGCTGCATTTCTATGATTCTATATTAAACTAACTTACTAACATAGTTAATACCTGGAGTAACCCTCGGCTGATTAATCACAACAGCATTCTTAGCGGAGCCAGCACCAGAGGAATTCCCTTCTTCATCGCTCACAACGATGTCATAGTCAGAATCTTCTCCTTTTGGCTCGCTTTTCTCCCCCTCTAGGCCCTCTTCCGTTGAAAGTTTTCGTTTTTTAGCGGATTTTGCAAACTCTTCTTCGTCTGAAATATCGTCCTCGTCGTATGCATTTGCTATGGATCGTAAAGAACCAAGGGCAGGCAAGCGATCCATGCCGAAAAAAACGTAATAAGGCTTTTATTTCTTTATAAATTAAGTGTTGTATATGCGTTTGTTGTGAAATTTTAACGTTTTCAAATCGCCATTTTGTAAATATTGAAAGTAGGGATGAAAAGGGATAGTTGTGAATAAAATAGGAATGATTGTGAACAATAATGAATATTTAGGGTTATCTGGGATAACGAGGGGCTAATTGGAACATTGATGGATATTTGGGAATTATTTTAGATAATAGGAACATTGATGGATAGAGGTGGATTAATGAGAACAATTGGGAATGAACTGGGATAGTGTGAGCAATTGGGGATAAATGGGTATAAATAGGGATAACTGTTTATACGCCGGGATAATTGTGGGTAATGAGTAACAATTATGGTTAAAGAGGGATGTATACTATCAGTAAGGGATATTAATGTGGGATTTGAATGGATTTGGGTGGGATTTAAAGGGAAATGAAGGAATTTGTGAGAAGAAACATTTCGAAGAAAAATGTCAACAGAAAAGATGGAAAATATTGAACCGCAAAAAATTTTTGTTAAATATCTTCCCAAGAATATTACAGTAGTAAGAGTATTTTTGTTTTATAATGATAAGACTTATGGATAAAACATTATTAAAATAAGTTAAACTGTGATTTTTCATTGTTCCTTTATATACAGGACGAGATAAAAGCATTTTTCAGTGTTTGTGGGATAGTTTTGAAGGTTTATCTAAAATCACTTAAATCACCTGATCAGGGTAAACCGACCTATATATGTGCGTAAGTATTGGCTTAGTACCTGTGTGTGTGTGTTTTGCATGCATAGTACAGACACTGCCAGACAAAATAGACAATATATATATTTCTATTAATATTTTCTGCAGATTTATCACTTATGGAACACAAGCTGGAGCAGACCGTGCTGTCTCAGAGCTCAATCATAAAGAGATGAAGAAAGGACATATTTCACAAAAACTTTCTGTCATGTACTCACTTAATTATGAAGGAAGGTATAGTTCATAAAAGGGAAGGAACAAGAAGAGGGAGAAGATGGATGGAAGAAGAGAGGAAAGGGGGAAGGAAGGAGAAGGAAGAGAAAGAAGGGGAGAAAGGGGGAAGGATGTAAGAAGAAAGGAAGGAGAAAGGAGGGAGCATAGGCGTACGGGCCCCAATTTTTAGAGAATTTATCTATTCGGGCAAAAATTGTTTGGGCAATGACGGTCTGGTGATAAGACAAAATGATAATACATTGATCCATAATGCAGAACAGAAGTATTATTTCAACAAGTTCAGCTTTTACGGGTTCAATCATCCACTGTAAATCTGTAATGGCAACGTTTGTGTATGTTTATTACTACCATAGATCACACAGCTGGATTCAAGCATGTTGCATCAGGTTAACCTTTATTAGGTCAAGTAAATGGCTAGAACAAAGGAACAATTGCTATGGCTATAAAATGTCACTACTGTATTAATGCAAATAGTACTTTAAAGAACGATATGGAAGAGATAATTGACATTTTTGGACAGTGACGTAATCGTAAATTTTATTTCTTCTAGATCGTAGATTGTAGCAATCTTAACTGATTTATCATTTTGCAAAACTCAATTCCTTGCATGTCTAGTGCTATACATGGGGGAATTTCATATGTCAAATAAAATGTTGTTACGTTAGTAACTTTCTCTTTCTTTGTAAATCGTAATGACTATATTTAGCTTATAATTGAAATGGCTAGGGACAACGTATTTCTTTTTATATTAATCGTCAAAGGAAAGCCTTTCATTTTGTAGTCTTCTGACTCTGACCCGGATGAAGGAAGAGGAGAAAGGAAGGGGAGAGGAACCTTCTGAAAGTGAGGGAAGAGAAGGAAAGATGGAGCAGGGGGGAAAGTAGGTGAGAGAAAAGGATAGAAGAGTGGAGGGAGGGTTGAAATCTGAGGAAGAAAAGAAGGGAAGTGGGAGGAAAGAAAGGATGGAAGATGAAGTGGGTTGAGGGAACAATTTCACTACATAAAAAATAAAAAGTATTTCACTTCTTTTAGGAAGGAATTACAGGTAGACAACTCTAAAGAAAAGGTTGGAATATATAATTAATCATATAACTGTTATTACTGAGCCAAAATTAGTTAAATTTCTATTCCTATCAATTTGTTCCCCTTACAAACTTGAGTAATTCCTTGCCTGTCATCAGTTTGTAAAATTTGATTGTTACATGTATAGTAGTGTTGAACGCTTATCCTGTGAGAACCTTTCGTAAAATTATTATTAATGATGGCTTTCAAATATTTGTTCACAGAAAGTTCCGAATGCTAAAGAATACCAAGAACTGTGGCTAAAATGTAGTAGCAATGCAGAAAAAATAAATCAAATATACAATGTATGTTATGATACAGATTTGATATTTATATTTATCACAGGGCTCGATTCCTGCCAGAGAATTGTGTATATACATGCTTACAATAACTTCTTGTGACAATAACATTTCTTGATAAAATTCTTCGAACAGAAAGTCAATTCTTAGTTTGATTTCAGAAACCAGAAGAGCAAAAACAAATTGAAGAATTGCGAACAAAGGTGAGATAGTTGATGAATAATAAACAAGGCTGAATTTTGGCTGGACCTAAATTTTGGCTGGATAATTAACTCTATCAGTTCAGTTCTAAACTGTTTTTCCTAGAGGTCCAGTAAGGATCATCTCTTGTTGATCCAGTGTTACTACAACTAAAATTTTTGTGTTGTCAGAAATGTGAACTTCAAGCAAAACAAGATGAGCTTAAAAAAACTGTAAGTTTCGTCCTAAATGTTCATGCTGTGTTTGCCATTACTTTGAATTGAATGACTGGGCAAAATTACTGCTTTCATTTATTAATTTTTATTTTAGAACAATAAGTTAAAAGACGAAATCAATCTCTTACGTCTGGAAGTTCAGATTAAGGTATAAAAACTATTGGGAAATATATGCATTATCAAAAAAACATGGTCTATATCGTTAATTAATATTAATTTTGCATTGTGTCCAGTTGTTGACATTAAGTCTGGAACAAGTTGTACGTCATCATCTTGTAACAAGGTTGATGAGGCTAACATGCTGATGCAGACTCGCACAACAAGTTGTTCAAACAAGTCTGATATTTTTTCTGTGTTGGTGTAATCACTAATGTTCTCAGGTGAATATGATGCTTGTGATGTTATGTAGGTTCGATTCCACCATGGACAGGCGTATTTTTCAAGCTTGCCCGGTGTGGATATACACTCAGAGTAACATCACAAGCATCATATTATTCACCTGAGTACATTACACCAACACAGAAAAAATCATGATTATTAGATTACATTGATATCGAAGGATTACTAGATTCTGTTCCGAAATATCACATACTCGAACCGACCTGACCGCGTAGCTCAGTTGGCAGAGCATTGGGCTAGTATTCCAAAGGTCGTAGGTTCAATTCCCACCGTTGACAGGCATATTTTTCAAGCTTGCCGGTGTGGATATATACACTCAAGAGTAACATCACAAGCATCAAGTCTGATATTGTCTGCACGAGTGCACATAACAAGTTGATGACAACGAGCTCGTGACAACTTGTTACGAGCAGCCTGTATCGGTCTTGTTGGAACAACTTGTAGCAAGTCTGTTTAATTCCGTCACATCAACGTTGTAACAAGGTGATATATATTAAACAACTTGTTCCAGACTTGTCACAATAAGCAGTGCGAACACATCCTGATTATCGGCTTGACAACAACCTAAAATTGCGTTTTCTACGCTTTTTATAGAACATGGATATAAAAAATACGAAACTCAAAGAAGCGCAGTGAAAAGTTTGTGTTGTGGTCAGAAACAGACATGTCGTTCCATTATATTTTGAGCACATGAAGTACATCGCTAAATTCCAATATGGCGGAATCTGGCGGATTTCGCGAGAAACAATGTTTTGATATATTTACAGGAATTTTGGGTCGTAAACTCGCAGTGAAACATTGGAAAGAAATATATTTATGCATCCTAGCTGTAGATTGTGGTCTCAAAACCTCTTATTTGGTAGACCAATGCTGTTTAAAGCCAGCACAAATGGATAAACTCGTTACAAATCTTCGCTGTGAAAAATTTATATCTCGAGGTGACCTACATACTGTTGTTATTTACGGCGATATATTTGTGCTACAGAGAGAGAAAATGTTGAACTATCTCAACTGCATGTTAAACCAACGATGCGTATGTTTTGTTGATATTTCACAGAGCCTGAGCGAGCCTAAAATCCTTAATTCTGACGAAATTTTTTGGACATCAATAAAAAGATTTTGCTTGGAGTTCAATGATTTTGTACAACACTGCAAAACAGATACACAATATATGCCAAGGACGTTTGAATTTGAAGATAAAATACTGCATCCTTGTACTGTTTTTGGAGTAATTTTGGGCTATCCTGTCCTATATTGGTTGACTAAAGAATCTGAAATGAACTGCCTTTCGCAAATCGATTTAAGTGTATATTCTAGCGAGATTGCTTTAGAATCGTGGCAGGGCAAAAATGAAGATTTTGTGACAGTCTGTTCATTTAGTTTTCCAGGAAATTTAACAGCTTATTGTGAAAAGTATATAGAATCATGGAGAAACAATGTGACCACAATTTCGCAGAAACAAACGATGTTAGTTCATAGAATAATGTGCAAACAAGTTAGACTACCAGTTGTAATTTTGTAGAATTAAAGAAAACAAGTTTGACTGTTAATATTTTTATAAGAGGTTAATGAAGCAGATTTTCCTGTTATTCAGCCCTTCACCAAGATGGATGAAAATTGAAAGGTTATATTGTAAACATCCGAATATAAGCCCCCCCCGAATATAAGCCCCCCCCCCGAATATAAGTCCCGTGAATACAAGCCCAGTAGCTCACTATGTTATTCAATATTGACATTGTCTTTTAATATAGCAGAGAACTATATTTAAAAACATTGTCATTATTATAGCTTACTATGTTAATCAAAGTGCATTATTAAGACATGTTTATTTTTCTGTTTATGACTGACTTGTTTATTACTAACACAAAAGATTGTCCATGTACAAGCCCCCCCCCCCCCTATTTAAGCCCATCAAAAATCGCTTAGGAAGGAATATAAGCCCAGGGCTTGTAGTTGGAGGTTTACGGTACTATAATTGTTCACACGATTCTTTAAATCAGAATATTTATATCTACACCATGCATGAATCATATAAAGCTAGCTTGTAAAAATTGCTAGAAAACTGAAATGGTCTCACGCTGTCACAACTTGTTACTCTCGAGATAAATTTACGAAAATAAGTCTGCACCTGTAGTCACTTCACTTTACAGAACACTGCACGAGAGTTAGCAGTCACATGATCTTGTTGGCTGTTCTTAATGCTTTCCCAACACTATCATGTATTCTATTGAAGTTAAAACATAGTTGGAACACTCATTAAACCTTTATTTTGTTCATCTAGACTCTAGAGGCTGTAACAATACTAGCTATAACAATACACAACTGCCATAACTCTCATCAAGTCACAACGAAACACAACGAAGTCTTTTCACACAAAATATTTCTAAATTTACGTACAGCACACCTATCAAAACAAAGACCATAGGTGATACAGCTACCAGAAAAAAATACGAACAGAATATGGTCTATCAAGTTATGATGATCTGAAACTAAATAGAAGTCATTGCGTTGTTTTTATCTCATGAGTTTGTTTATTTGTTCACAGTCGTTGAGCTCATTGTATTCTTGTATAATGAAGTAATCGCCCAATAAGGATAGCCAAGATGAAACGTGCACCAATGTGTATAATATTTAATGAAGTTGAGACAAAGGATTTGTGCACGAGGTACACTTGACACTTCAACATCAAACAAGGCCTTCTATTTTGTAGCTTTTCTACCATCTTGACAGACAATGAACTGAATTTCTATTTAGGAGTTTCTGCTTATATATATAGTCTTCAAGTAGTTGTATTGCCTTCATAACACAGCAATTATTGTCTCTTCTTGCACTGGTTTCGAGATTCTATCGATATATAGATATCATTATGGCAAATGAATCGTATTAACCTAAATTGTCAGACTTATATAATTATTGTGTACATGTATGTAATATATATCTAGTAGTAATCTTGCATGTTCTAATTTGACTATATTTAATACCTAATTAGACTACAACTAATTAAATGAATTAGTGCTCATCTCAACCTAATTATACAGCTAATTGGTCCATTCTCATGCACTTTGGGCAAATATTTTTCGATTTTTGTAAAAGATTTTCGATGTTTGTAAATTTTTACCCAAAAATTAAAATTAAAAAAAACTTCAAATGTATACCTAAATACATCACCAAACCCATGCCATGATTTTGCATGAATTCTTGATTTACAGAAATTTTTTTCAGTTGAAATTGAAAAATTCTAAGTAAATGTGGGCACACGGCGAAGGTAATAGTTTTTTCTTTTTTGAAAAACTGCATTTGCTCCAAACACTGTATTGCCTCTGGTAGCAAATCACAAGTTAAAGAGGCAACGTTTTTATAAAATAATACATTTTCTTCTCTTTTTGGGTTTTTGTTTTGAAGAGCCTTTTCTCTCTTTCTGCAAAAAAAAAAGAGAAAAAATGTCAAGAAAAATAAAGCATGTCATCTTAAATAAATTATAATCTGTCTATGTATAAAACAAGTTCCATAGACATGGCATTAAAAACGAGACTTACGTCTTTTCTTATTTCTCGTACTAACGTGTAGAAAGCTTCGTCAACTCCTTGCCGAGTCTTCGCGGAAGTTTCGATAAACGGGATACTGAAATTTGCTGCCAATTCTCGAGCACTTTCACTGCTAACATTTCGAGTCGGTAAATCGCATTTGTTTCCTACCACTGAAGAGAATACATTGTAACACACTTTTAGAGAGGAGTGGACATTGTAAAATGATAAAGTATGGTTCATTAGCTAAGGAGCAATGCAACTTATTAATGGGTTAAAAAAGTTAGGCTACAATATACTTACAAACCATGGGGACTTCGTCTGCATCTTTTACTCTTTTTATCTGACCATTTTGAAAATAAATTTATTGATTTAGTTAGTAAGTACGTCTACCACAATAACATACAGTTAATAACAAAACATGGATACCTGTTCTCTATATTGGTGTACATCTTCAAATGATTTGACGTTATTTATTGCGAACACACATAAAAACCCTTCACCCGTTCTCATATATTGATCTCGCATTGCACTGCAAAGTGAATTATATGGTTATTAAAATGTCATCTGAAATATCAATCCTAAAAGTTCAGTGAAGACCAACGTTACTACAGGAGTAAATAAATTCAATTATTAACCACAATTATCCATAATTATCATTACCTATATTCTTCCTGGCCAGCAGTGTCAAGAATATCCTGTCGCAAAAATAACGGTTCTGAGTAAACATACAATTGGGATGGGCGACAGCTGATATATGTACTTTTTTGAGTGGAAAAAAAGATAATATCTAACACATTAAGAACAAAACATACCAACAAACAGGTCTCTCCATCTATTACTACTTGTTTCCTATATGAATCCTCTATAATAGATTGAAATTGAGCAGGCATTAAGGCCCGTTTACACTTGCAATCAAGGGCGGATTTTCATTTTTTTAAAAGGAGCCTGGTGGAAAAATTTCTAGTGGGGTGCAAGAGGCACCACAGTAGCGAGCTTCGGCAGGGGTTAGGCGTAAGGGTTGAAGACTTTCACGCAAAATAGGAGGGGACCTGAAGCAGAATTTTGGTGGGGTTGAACTATAAGAGAGGTTAGAGAGATTCTAGGGGGCATTTAACCCCCCCCCCCCCAGTAAATCTGCCCATGCGTGCAATTTTTGCTGTGATTTTAGATAATCAAGTGGATGAGTGACGAATGTTCAGATCGATCAGATGAGGGTTCATATACTCAGAACATTCATAACTCATCTCAGACTCATTCACATGCATCATGAGAAGAACATCACAGCAAAAATAGCAAGTGTAATTAAATAGGACTTTAGACTAAGTAAATCATTAATTAATCTGAATGGACTCGTTAAGATATACTTACCGATAGTTGGATCGTATTCGTCAACGAAACTAAAATAAAATGAATATCTCAAAACTAAACAACATTTACGGGCACTTGCACCTACCACCCTCGAATTAGTTGAGAAAAAATGATGTGCAAATTTTTTTTAATTAAAAAGTGTGGCTCTAAATTTTTATAAAATAGGTTCACGATGCTACTCAGTCGAACTCTACTCAATCAAACTGCAATAATTTAATGATTTGAATACTTTTTAAACATTGTTTGCAATCTTTGATATACAAATCTAACACATAACATCAATCAGTCATGTGTTTGTCGGTCATGGTGGCTAAAATTCGACACCTTCCAGTCTGCAAACATGCTGCTAGTATGCATGCAAAAGCGCTTGTTTATAAATTATAAGATAATCATAAGACTTCCTTCCTGGGAGAACAACCTGGAGACAAAAATTTCCTGCAGACCAACGGAGTATTTTTGTGCTAAATCTGCATGTGCATAAGCATATATAGTGTTCTAGCTGACCATGGTTTTAAATTCAAGGAATAATGTCTGTCAACCATATGTTGTTGTGCCCATAGTGGGACATGGGTGTTAAGGTTTCCTTCAAATTTTCAATAGCAAATCTTCATTCAAACGAATTTCCTGCAGTTGTTTAACATTTCCTGCGAGCACTGTACGTATCTACTTTTATACACTTGTAGCCTAGCTGCAATCTATCATTGCCACTGCAGGAGTATTTCTTTGTTCTATTCAATATCCAGCTATGACCTACACGGCTAAAAATGATCAGGTTGTTGCAATATTGATGAAAAACAGGATTGAACAATGTTTCGCTGCCCACATTGTTCACAGTTGTCAACAATATTGAACAACAAATTGTTACACCCGATTCAGGCTCAACAATACTGTTCAATGTTGTTGACAAGTGTGAACAACGTGGGCAGCAAAACATTGTTCAATCCTGTTAAACAGCGGGCTCAGCGTTTTTACGCGTGTAGGGCAGGTCAGGACTGCACTCTACCTAATATCTCCCATACAGCCACACCCCCAACAAGGGTCACAACTTTATAACATAAACATAAAAATCCAATTAGCTACAGTAAACATCATTAATACAATGTACAACTGTAACACAGCGTCTGGTAAATGTGAAATCTATTATTTCTAATTCACTTTAATAAATTGGCTTTTGAGAGCAAAAGATCATGGGGGCATCAAAGTAAATTGTCTTGCAAGCAAAATTTTACATACAATAGATTTTTACACACAAAAAAAAATTGGCGCGGTAATTTGCAGGAAAACTACACAGACAACATGCATGTCAAATTTGTGACAAGTTTATAGTACTCGAATACAAATGCCAAATAATTTGAAACATTATATACCCTAGTAGCCAAGTGATATATACGAAGTGTATTGTATTACACCGCATATTTTAGTACTCAATAACTAATTCCCATTTCAAACTATATAAGACTAGAAAGTATTGAAACACTTACTGATTTTGAATGAGTTGAATTGTCAGGGCGCTCTTCCCCACACCACCAGCTACAAAGCAAAATTTTCAATGCTATATGTGAGTATATAGGGTTCTCTCACGTCCGAACATTTAGCGAGCATTAAAACGCATTATCCGCTTCGAAAACACAACATACCTCCAACAACGACCAGTTTATACTCCGTCATGTTTCCTCCGGCGGCTTTGACCACTTTTCGCTGATATTTTGGAGCAAAAAGCTTGAAAATATGAAAAGTTTTTCAAGTCAAAACGCCGATCTCGCCAAGGTGCGGCTTTATAGTCCGAGAGCCAAAGGACTAATAATATCAGCCAATCAGGTGGCTGCATTGGTGGGAACCTGCGAACAGGCTTCCCTGTTTGCCCTAAAATTCCGGTAACCCAGGCGCCAAAAAAGGGATAAAAATATATTCGCCACAAAATTCCACGAAAATTTGGCGATGAGGGACCCGGGTTCCGATAGAAGGTCGAAATCCCGGACGGAATTTTGGAAGGGGTCGATACTCCGATGCGTCCATACTCCGGTGATATGTAGTAGATGGGGATAAAGTGTTATATTTAGAAGAATTTTAGGATATCCCTGTTCTCTGTTTAAAGATTTACCGTTTGGTCCCTAATTGTAGTTACTTAACAATAGATGCAGGGCAATGACCACTGACATATTAACATTATTTTCTCACTCTATTACTCTAATAACAACAGGTAAACCAGTTTATAGAACTGATAGAGCTATAAAATTAGTTTAGTTTAGGTTTCTTCCTGTGGTAACACTGGATCAATGAGAGATGATCCTTACTGGACCTCTAGAGGGAGAACAGTTCAGAACTGATAAAGCTATCCACAGGGCCGTCCTCAGGCAATTCTTCAGGGGGAGTGTAAGGTCATTTCAACCGACCAGTACCTGACATTTCAACCGACCAGTACAAATTATTTTTGGCGACCTCCCCCTACAGACTGAATAGCAGTCCTGCCAACTGAATGCAATTTCTGGAGGGGGGGAGGGGGTGTCACCCCCACCCCCAGACCCCCCATATCTCCGGTCCTGGCTATCCAGTATAAATAAAGTTAGTTTAGTTTAATAAGTTTCCTCCTGTAGTAACACTGGATCAATAACAGATGATCCTTACTGGACCTCTAGGAAGAACAGTTTAGAACTGATAGAGTTATCCAGTATAAATAAAGTTAGTTTAGTTTAGGTTTCCTTCTGTGGTAACACTCGATCAATAAGAGATGATCCTTACTGGACCTCTAGGAAGAACAGTGTAGAACTGATAGAGCTATCCAGTATAAATAAAGTTAGTTTAGTTTAGGTTTCCTTCTGTAGTAACACTCGATCAATAAGAGATGATCCTTGCTGGACCTCTAGGAAGAACAGTGTAGAACTGATAGAGCCATCCAGTATAAAGTTCAAACGGGTAACCGGATGACTGATCATGTAAATTTTGAGCAGAGAAGTAACGGATGTTTTTCGTTACATTCAAACCGACTGGTGCTTGTCGAGAACCGTTGTACGCAACAGGAAATATCCTGTCATCATGTCTTGAGAGCCACGCCAAAACGTGTGAAAGGAAGACAAAATCTAAAACTAACTTTATACACACAGAATGGATAACAGTTCCATCATAGTTCTAAACTGATCTTCCCAGAGGTTCAGTAAGGATCATCTCTTATTGATCCAGTGTTACTACAGGAGGAAATCTAAACTAAACTAACTTTATTTATACTGGATAGCTCTATCATTTCTAAATTGTTCTCCCTAGAGGTCCAGTGTTACAACTGGAAGAAACCACTAGACTAACTTTAGTTATACTAGATAACCGAGGTAGCTCTGACAGTTTTATTAGGTTCAGATTTCACAGAGAAGTTTAATTTAACGTTCGTTCCTTATTGATTCAGTTTTGTTACAGGAAGAATCTTCTCATATGCGACTAAATCAAAATCACGATTAAACAACTGCATATTATAGTAATCTTGATCGCAGACAAATAACATGACTGCGTCATCACGAAAATTGAAGAAATTAATGTCAACTTGGCAAATAAAGATTTTTATGTCTATACCTGCGTAAAATGGGAAATCCTGCACTAAGGAAAAGTACTACCAACAGGATTTATCGTCTACCACCCTGGTATAATACTGAAATAATACAAGCTTTGCGATATTGAACAGTTTCCTGACAGCCATAAGAACATAATCCGTTTCGAATTGTCGAGAGTAATCAGAATACAGTAGGCCTTGGTCACATAAAGAATTTTTACACCGGTTTCCTCCTGTAAAAGTACTGAAGGAACAAAGGATGGCCGTACGTGCTGGACCAGACAGACCAGTTTAGAACTGATAAAGCTATCAGGTATAAATAAAGTTAGTTTAGGTTTTCTCCTGTAGTAACACTGGATCAATAAGAGATGATCCTTACTGGGCCTCTAGTCCTCTAGGGAGAACAGTTTAGAACTGATAGAGCTATCCAGTATAAATGAAGTTAGTTTAGGTTTCCTCCTGTAGTATATATAACAGTGGATCAATAAGAGATGATCCTTACAGGACCTCTAGGAAGAACAGTTTAGAACTGATGGAGCATAAATAAAGTTAGTTTAGTTTAGGTTTCCTCCTGCAGTAACACTGGTCAATAAGAGATGAACCTTACTAAACCTCTTGGGAGAACAGTTTAGAACAGACAGAGCTATCCTGACCAGTATAAGTAAAGTTAGTTTAGGTTTCCTCTTATAGTAATAACACTGGATCAATAATTACCAATCATAGATATCTTATATACACTAGATAGTGCATCTAATTATTCTGCAATTCAAAAATTGAAGCCGCGTCATTGCAGACTCAGGATATTCCCATGAAATGAGAAGACTCGTATGTTTTCTATTTCTTAAACAGGGAAATTAAACATTAAGTTAAACCTATTCCAAATACATTTTCAAACTATTCAAATGATGAAAGTTATTGTTGTTTTTTAAGCGTTTATTAGCGAGTGGGAAACTCCAACATGGCCGCCATCTATTCAAATGGGGGTAACCGCTGGAATATTATTGGCTTCAATTTTCAGTACTAAAAGAGACGCGCTATCTAGTGTATATAAGATATCTATGGTACGGTACCAATACAAGAGTTTCCCTTTGTTGGACCTCTAGAACGAACACTTTATAACAGATAAAGCAATCCAGTAAAAAGTATGTAATTAATTTCGCCAATAATACATCACAACATGAGAGGGAATGCAGCCAAATTTGAAGCATTATTGCACGTCTAGACGCCACGCACCAACACTATAGCGTCTGTTTGCCTTAAACCAACACAGTTAATGAATGAAAACAAATCTTACTCATTCACTCAACTTCCTGCCTTTAATCTACCATTTTGTTTTAAACCGCAGGACGGATTATGGAAGAATTTTAACTATGCTTTCGGGCTTTGTTAGCGGCTTCTTCTTAAACCGGCTTTTCACTATATTAACAGACCGCGAGAAAGGAAGTTTTGAGGACTAGAATTTGAGGAGGGCACCGCCAAAACCGCATGGAGAGCCTGCGGGCCATTCTCCCCCGCCCAAATTTGAAACATCGAGGCTCCTGTAGTAACACCGGATCAATACGAGATGACCCTTACTGGACCTCTAGGAAGAACAGTTTAGAACTGATAGAGCTATCCAGTATAAATAAAGTTAGTGTAGTTTAGGTTTCCTCCTGTAGTGACACTGGATCAATAAGAGATTACTCTTACTAGACCTCTAGGGAGAACAGTTTAGAACTAATAGAGCGATCCAGTATAAATAAAGTTAGTTTAGTTTAGGTCTCCTCCTGTAGCAACACTGGATCAATAAGAGATGATCCTTACTGCATAGACCTCTAGGAAGAACAGTTTAGAACTGATAGAGCTATCCAGTATAAATAAAGTTAGTTTAGTTTAGGTCTCCTCCTGTAGTAACACTGGATCAATAAGAGATGATCCTTACTGGACCTCCAGGGAGAACAGTTTAGAACTGATAGGGCTATTCAGTATAAATAGTTTAGTTTAGGTCTCCTCCTGTAGCAACACTGGATCAATAAGAAATTATCTTTACTTGACCTCTAGGAAGAACAGTGTAGACTGATAGAGCTATCCAGTTTAAATAAAGTTAGTTTAGGTTTCCTCCTGTAGTAACACTGGATCAATAAGAAATGATCTTTACTGGACCTCTAGGGAGAACAGTTGAGAACTGATAGAGCTATCCAGTATAAATAAAGTTAGTTTAGGTTTCCTCCTGTAGTAACACTGGATCAATAAGAAATGATCTTTACTGGACCTCTAGGGAGAACAGTTGAGAACTGATAGAGCTATCCAGTATAAATAAAGTTAGTTTAGGTTTCCTCCTGTAGTAACACTGGATCAATAAGAAATGATCTTTACTGGACCTCTAGGGAGAACAGTTGAGAACTGATAGAGCTATCCAGTATAAATAAAGTTAGTTTAGGTTTCCTCCTGTAGTAACACTGGATCAATAAGAAATGATCTTTACTGGACCTCTAGGGAGAACAGTTGAGAACTGATAGAGCTATCCAGTATAAATAAAGTTAGTTTAGGTTTCCTCCTGTAGTAACACTGGATCAATAAGAAATGATCTTTACTGGACCTCTAGGGAGAACAGTTGAGAACTGATAGAGCTATCCAGTATAAATAAAGTTAGTTTAGGTTTCCTCCTGTAGTAACACTGGATCAATAAGAAATGATCTTTACTGGACCTCTAGGGAGAACAGTTGAGAACTGATAGAGCTATCCAGTATAAATAAAGTTAGTTTAGGTTTCCTCCTGTAGTAACACTGGATCAATAAGAAATGATCTTTACTGGACCTCTAGGGAGAACAGTTGAGAACTGATAGAGCTATCCAGTATAAATAAAGTTAGTTTAGGTTTCCTCCTGTAGTAACACTGGATCAATAAGAAATGATCTTTACTGGACCTCTAGGGAGAACAGTTGAGAACTGATAGA